ACGGTGTGCTATGTCGAGTGTTTTCGTTCTATTTGTCGTAGTCCAAATTCTGTTCCATTCTTCTCTTTCAGCTTTGGTCGTTGAAGCTAGCAGGTCTTGGTGTGCGATTGGGAGATCAACTTTTATTTTCGACTTGTAGGATTTTTGACGACACGCGCAGATTTTGCGTCGAAAACTTTTCGAGCCTGTTGTTGTGTTCGATTTCAAATATGAGAATTTTGAACAGAAGCTTTGGAACTGCCTTCGAACCACGAATTTAAGAGAAATGCAAATACATATAAAGAGTGGCCACCAAATGGTCACTGAAAGACCGAATGATATATAAAATAAAAATAACTTTCACGGACACGTGTTTTTTTTTTAATTTTTTACTATTTTATTTTGGAAATATAATTAATGGATTTTTTTTTCAAAAATACCCTTTTTCAAACCCTTCAGTCTTTCAGTGGCCACCCTGTATATTGTATTTTTTTGTAGGCGTAGAAACAAATTTCTATTTAAATTCCTTTAGTAATTTAATTCGTAGATATTTGAGAATTGACAAATTTTAATCACCAAAGACCCCAACCCAGGTCTTGGACGAGAAATTTCATCTCTGCCATCCATCGTTGAGAATCTTTTTATAGAACCGGGAGGGTCCCAGTGGGAGGAATGGCGTATCCTTGTCCAGGTCGAAAATTCGTTACAATCGCAGGCTTATTTCCAGCCGGGGCCATGTATGTTTTTTTTCGTTCGTTTTCTCGACCGCGCCGGGGCCGTGGCCTGCACAAAAGCAGAGAGAGAGAGAGAGAGAGAGAGAGAGAGAGAGGGGTTGGCCCAAAGCAACGGGGCCTGGATATTCCGGTTCACTTAATCGTTTCTTCGGACTTCGTGGTCTGGACCCAAGTCTCGCTCTCCTCTCTCTCTCTATCTCTCTCTCTCTCTCTCTCTCTCTCTCTCTCTCTCTCTCTCTCTCTCTCTCTCTCTCTCTCTCTCTGGTTNTCTCTCTCTCTCTCTCTCTCTCTCTCTCTCTCTCTCTCTCTCTCTCTCTCTCTCTCTCTCTCTCTCTCTCTCTCTCTCTGGTTCCTCGTGAGGAGACGAGAAAACGAAAAGGAAAAAAAAACGACGGTAGTGCACCATGGTTACACAAAGGGACCAGAAAATGGGTACCTCTCAGTCAGCGCTACAAGACGACGCCATCATCCGAATTGTCTCTTCGTCTCATGAAATATTTTTTTTTTTTCTTTTTTTCCAACGAGAGGAAACGCCCCTCGCCACTTCATTGCAATCCTCGAGTCACAATCCGTTTTGTCACTTAGAGTTTTATTAACCTCTTGCGCCTAGCGAAGACTGGTTTTGCGGACCGTAACGAGCGACCAAAACCGTGTACAACAATTCGTCTTCTTTTTTGAATTCATCGGAAATTACTGAGAAGTTAATAAATTTATTATTTGTCCCGCCTGGGTTATACTTCGATATACTTAAAGACTGAGAAAATATTGCAATTTTGGGCCAAATATTTTCATTCCAGCGCAAGAGGCTAATATTTCGTTTCTTTCGATTGCGCGGGTATACAGGGCGCTCCAAAAATTGTGTGTCGATTGGTTTAGGTTAGGTACGAACGATTTTTGTATACGTATATTTTTGAATACACAATACGTAGAAAAATTATATTTTTCTTTTCATTACGTAGAAAAATTATATTTTTCTTTTCATTGCGTAGAAAAATTATATTTTTCTTTTCATTACGTAGAAAAATTATATTTTTCTCTCCGTTCACATCGATAGAATATCGTCATAGACATATATCGTCACGTGCCTCTAAATATATTATTTCTCCTCTAAATTTATTATTTCACATCTTAGTTCTCGATGAGTTGTCGCAGAATCGATCCACGCCTGTTAATTTATCGTGCATCCTCTGTACAATGCTTCTCTTTCTCTCTTGCTTTCTCGCATCGTTCCATTTTGTTCTTCCTCCTCTTTCAATTTCCACTGCTTCTCACGACCTTAGCTGAAAAAATAGTTGAACGAAAGACACGGTGAAGTCTTCTTAAGGTTTAAGGAAACTTAATTACTGTAACACCGTTGCGTAGCTTTGTATGCTCGATGAATTTTTGTCACTGTCTCTGTTTTCCGTGTGCTCCTCCTGTAGTTTTTCACGCTTGAACGTCGGAACGTGGCTCGCGTGTTGACGACCCATCGAAGAGGAGCGATTCCGGGACGAGTACGTTTTTTCCTTCGGAAACGTATGCTCTGGCTGATTGAATTGAACACGACAGGAGAGAACGAGAGAAGAGGATGTCTCGCGGTCTCAAAGGAGGCAATGACTTGGTCGTTTAACGCATCTGGATCTGTCGTAATTTTAACGATCTGTGAATCTACAGGGTGTTTCAAAATACGACACACATTGAGATATACATACATACTCTTTTCTTAACTTGCGAACAAAATTCTCCTTTTTGTTTTTCTTCTTTGTTTAAATAAATTTCTTTTTTTTAATTTAGAGAGAAGGACGCGATGTGACTGAAATTTAACGCTTAAATTTTATTTGTTTATTTATCATTTGGTTAAATGGACGAAAGAGTTAAAAAGCACAACAGAGGCATCTTTCTCGTGGAATAGCAACCCGTTCAACTGTCACGTGAAATAAATCTGATGGGATCTTGAAACGATATTATCGAATTGAATTGAAACAAGAATGGAAGTGCGTTTCGTGATACATTATATATTTGTTTTTAACTTAAAATTACTTGGAACCGTGTAGACGAATTATTCCACGGAATAACTTTGCATTAAATTATGCACGGCATAGCGTTGATTCCACGTTGAAAGATATAGATCACGACTTCAAAAAAAAAAAAAAATAATACTCTTCCATCGGAGAAACAAGGTAGAGGTGAGATTTTAAAACACCCTGTACAACATCAAACGAGCAGTACAATTTCATTCGTGCATCGCTAGAGCAAACGAAACGGTTAACGAAATTAAAATTCAAGTTTTCCCAATGATTATCGATATTCATTTTTCACGTCGAATACCGAAAGTCTTTCTACTTTCTCTGTCTCGTTTTCTTCCTCTTACTTTTTCTCCTTTTTTTTTTTTTTTTTTTTTTTTTCCTTTCACGACGACGCGTGCGCGGAAACGAGCAATAAAATCGACGGCCAATGATTTCATAAATATCGCCGCGGAATTATTAAGCGCCGGTTCGCTCCTTTTCGCGAGCAACGATGACGATATCGCCGAACGTTTTGCTAACGGCGAGCGAGAGAAACGAGAGTATTATTATTATTTTTTTTTTTCTTTCTTTCGTACGAAGAAAAAGAGATTCGAACGAAATGAAAGAGTGAAGTAAAAGTCGAGTCGAGAGAGCAAGGATAAGAGAGAGAGACAGAAATAATTTTTTATCTTTATCCATATTACGTAAAGGCACGTTCTCTGGGCCCAGGAACGAAATTTAGCTGGCCAGGATTTCAAATGAACAAAAGCTTGTAACAAAGTTTATAAACACGAACGAAGCTTTGCGCTATATATAAATAAATTTTCGACTTTCGTTAAAAAGGATCGAGAAGATCGAAGATCGATCGTGTTAAAATGAAAAAAAAGAGAGAGAAAAAAAGAAGGCAAATTTATAGTTTCACAAGCGTAAAGAGAAAAATTATTTCATCCACTATATTTATTGCTTTGCCTCGTTGTATTTGATATACCTCGTGCGTTCAGAACAATTCGGATATTCGATACTCGAGTGAAACAGCATTGGAACTGATTTTTATTCTCGAAAAAGGCCAATCAAACTTTGCAAGTGACTTTTTCTCATTCGACGATTATGAAAACGAGATTGTCATCACTCTTTTGATTTCTACTCTGAATTTTCATCGAAAATGTAACTGCAAAGAATCCTTCTTGTGAAGAACTAACTAATGCATCATTATCGTTCTTAGATCACCGAGCCCGCTAAATTTCGTGCATGGGCCCACTAGGTGGTGGGGCAGATATTTGAAAATGTGAAAATGCATCCGAACTCGTCGCCACCAACAGCTTTCGTTGGCCAGAAGAAGCATGCGAATGTTCACACGAACTTTGCCAATACCAAGCACGAAAACGATACGAGACATTTCGAAATAGAAATCGCTGATTCTGTCGTTAATTATCATTGAATTATCTATTTCAGTCGAGATCGTAGTTCTTTAACGAAACAATTACATATTCATTTCGTCTGTATAATTATATACAGGGTATTTCGTAACCTGTGGGAGCTGATTGTACGCCTAAAAATAATGGGAAAAATTCATATAAATATATGTCCCATTTGTCTTCGTTCATGAGATGTAATGAATTCTCTGTTTTAATTAATCTTTTACAAAAGATGCTTGAAATGACCACTCTTGCATTTGAAAGACAAGCCTGCACGCGTCTTGTCATTCATCTGGTTACTCTCTCTATCATTCCTGGTGTTTCTCGAATTNATATATAATTTTTTATTCTTCTGTATATATATATATATATATATATATATATATATATATATATATATAATTGTTAATATGTACTACTGCATGGTATGTTTGTTTCTAAAACACGCTCTCTGTTCTTATTATCAGCTGTTACTACTTGGTACGTGACCAAAAGTCATCCGCGATATTATCTATGCACATTTCGATCACGTCACCGCTTGTTCCTCCTCAGACATGCTACTGAAAATTATACTTTTTTTCTTCTTCTTTTGTAATCTCACGTCTTTCTTCTCGGAAAGAAAACGCGTTTAACATCTCGCGCCGCACGTCGAGAATCTGTCGACGCAGAAAATTGCAATACTTTCTCAGTTTTAAGTATATCGATGTATAACCCAGGCGATACAAACAATAAATTTATTACGTCTTAGTAACTTCTGTCCAGTGACATATACCGCGATGAATTCAAAAAAGATGACGAATTGTTGTATACGGGTTTGGTCACTCGTTATGGTCCGCGATACCAGTTACTAGCGCAAGAGGTTAAGACAGGAGAAATTAGCGCGATATTTGTTCTCTTTATTTTCGTTGAGATAGAGAGAAGGAAAAATTACGAAGGAAAAACAAAAAAAAAAGATACACTTGCCGCGAGAGATGAAAAGTAACGGGGCACGCGGGATCGGTGGCGTCGTCCCTGGCGTTTCGAGCAGCAACTCGAACATGGCGGCGAGCTCGGATGTTCTTTCGACATTTCGAAAGAACGGCGCGCGCGAGGTGAAAATCGCCTCTCGTCGTCGATCATCTATCGCCTCTTCCTCGCCGTGTGTGTGTGTGTGTGTGTGTGTGCGTGCGTAACGTTCGAATATCTCGCCAGGTTCTCTCTCGATAGCCGGCGTCGGAGGAGTTAACGCGGGGCGTGCACACGTTTTCAAACTGAAGGGGGCCAGAAACGTGTACGAGGTCTCGGGTGAAAAACGCAAGGCGAGAGGTTAGAGCCTCCTCCGCCTTGCCTTGCCTTGCCTTGCCTTGCCTTGCCTTGCCTTGCCTTGCCTTGTCGTGTCCTCCCGTTTCAACCACGAAAACGAAACCAGCAGACAGACAGAGAGAGAGAGAGTGAGAGAGTGAGAGAGAGAGAGCGAGCGAGCGAGAAAAAAAAAGAGGTGGAGCGATACCGAGTGGCTGCCGTTGTAAAAGAGAGAAAACGAGAAAGAGGAGAAAAAGAGTGGCGAAAAACGGAGGGAGATAGAGGGAACGAAAGGGTAGAATAATAGGATCGAAACGAGACAGAGCAAAGGGGGAGAGAATGAACGGCCCCGGGAGTCATCAGCATCGCGGCTTGGGCATGCAGGGACGTTTCAGGGCCGTAGTAACTGCTGGCACTCCGGCAGGGCCCCACTCTCGACCCTCAGCACCGCCTCACGCACGCGGTGGATGGCACCCTCATAGCCAGCACCCTCAACACGCCCAGATACCTCAGCAATACACCGGCAACAAGGAATACCCGTATCGACAATGTCCACCGCCACGCTTCCATAATGGGTATACCATTGCAGTAACGAAACTTGCGGCGCACCTTCAGTGCGACTATATATCCGTCTTTTGCGTTGCAAATTCTTTTTGTTCTTTTTTCTTTTTTCTATTTCAATACCGTTCTTTCCTTTTCACTTTACGTTTTTACTTGAACCTTTACGTTTGCGAAAAAATTGCTTCATGGCCTGTTCTTGAAGTTTTCTGACAAAGTAGTCTTTTCGTGTGAACGTCTTTCCACTCGTTGCTATTGGGCTGTGCCATTATAAAATAGCGCGGAAACTAAAAAAAAGTTCGATATACTCTCTTACTCCAACAATTTGCTCTCTTCGAGCAATTTGAAATTTCGCGGGTTCGTCTCGACGGTGACTTGCGAGATTCTCGAAATTATTGTTTTAGGATTAACACCGTATCGATCGATACAACTCGTCCGTATGAAAAGTAGTCGATTCACCGTCGCGTAATCGAGCGAATAATTAATAGCCTTTTTTTCTCGTTCTCGTAATATCATTACGCAATCGTCGTTCGTAACTCACGTCGAGAATTACGTGTATCACGCATCGAATGTAATTCTTGAAAAGGTCGTTCGATTGATGTATCTAGTTAAGAGTCGAACGTTCTCGCATTTACCAACATGGACGATCGGTATGGAAGGGAGTGATGGTCGCGAAAGTGTTCCTCGCACGCGTTCGCCCTGGCAAGTACGTGTTTAATTTCCAGAGTAACCGACATTGAAGAGTCGGCGATTCTAATCGACGATAATAAACGCGTGCTCTCGGCTCTTGTCCTCGAGTTACGACGCTGCGGACGCGCGCATCCGCGATGCATTTTCGTTTTCGTGTGCACGTTTTTAACGCTCGTCAGCCCGCGTTCGGGACGTTCGTTTCACCTTTTTCCCCCCTTCGATTTTATCGAGCTTCGAGCTATACCGGCCTTTTTGGGTTTTAGGTTAGGTCACTGTGATTAACGTTTCGCGAGTTGAGAGAACACGATATTTGTCGAAATTCTCGCGTACACACGCTCCATGGATCATGCGGCACATAGACGCGCGTGTGCACGCAAAATCTGCAGATGTCGGCTTCGGATGATTTATAATTCCGTTCCCAGACTGATACACGCGTAATCACGTTGCGCGTATTTGGTAAAGGGGAGTATTCAAAGACACTTAGAAAATTGCAAATTATTCCAACAGTGACAAAGCTTGTTATTTTTAGTGTTTGAACATGCGTCAAAGGAAGGATTAAAAACTCTTCATTTCTCTCACAAACGACAACGACGACATTTATATTCCGCCGAATAAGTATAACTATAATCTCTACCTGCGGATATTTTAAAATTATCAATCCTTCTTGTGGATGTGTGATGTCTTCACATTCTTGTAATAAGCCGGTGACGTATAACCACGACACACATTTACGCAATTAAACACACTTGTAGATACATCGTACAATCTATTTCCGGTCGGTGTGACATCTCTGCAAAATTCAGATTACGCGAGTTTTGCGAGGTTAGGCTGCTGCTGGTAATGCTGCACGAGACACACCGTGTACAGCACGCGACCTTGAAGTTACTACATTACAAATCGTCAACGATCTTTAGCGTTCGTTAACAGAGTACTACAGTAACTATGATTCTTTTTTTATCCGTATCGTAACGAATGTTCTTGTTCTTGTTTGCGATTATCGTTTCTTCTTGATATTCCTCGTCCCTGTTTTCTCTGTACTTTTCTTTCACGCTGTGTTTACACCGTTACCTTCGCTGTTCAGCATGTCACCGAATAACAGCCATCTTTCGAACGATGATTTGCTTGAAGAGCGACACAATTTCAATAATTGAAAATAACTCGTCTACCTTTGTAATTACAGATCCGAAAATGAATTCGAATGGAACGTTCTTTATGAGCTGTTTCGTTAATAACCATTTTTAATAACAGTTCGTTTCTGCGAATGTACCTCAGAGGCGATAATACGGTTCTTTGTATTATTTTTCGTATAATCACGTTGTCGCGTGTTTTCTGCATTATCTCGTCGAGGAACTTTTTGCCACGTTTTCACGACAGATTCGTCCTATGCTATCGCCATTTTATTGATATCGTGCACGATGTTCGTGTAAACATGCCCGTAACGTGGAATTTATTCAGCTGCGCATCAGCTAGTAATAATATTATTGCCATTTCACATCTAGTCGAGCGAACGTCGCTTTTTCACGAGTCGATAAACGGCATTAACATTGGAACAACCGACGACTAAAATGTAAAGCTTATCTACAAAAAAAAAAGAAAAAAAAATTATGTACAAAAAAAAAAAAAGAAAAAATACGCAATGTCATTTCAATATCGAATCTTTATTCATACGATTTTATGAAAATTAAATGAAAATTTTATGAAAATGTATGAATTGTATGAAAATTCATTCGAAGCCTCGAAAATGTAAATTTAATATTCTTTATTAAACAAAAAAAAAAGTTGCTATTAATTAATTCCAGTGTTAAGACTGACACATTAGGTTTTTTTTATGGTAGAAAAATTTTCATGATTAATATTATATTAATTCGCTGTATGTGTTATCGAATCGTTTCATTAATTCCATGCGTGTTAATTATTCAATAGATCGAACGCGCATGAATTTCAAAACATCGTACCCGAGGAGGGAAAAATCATCTCCGAACGCGTATATCGATGTTACGATGAAAGGTACTTGTGATTCTAGAGCCACGGGAATTTCTATAGAATCATTAATATAATATATAATAATATTTAATATATAATACAATATATAATATGTTATATAATATATAATAATATAATATTATAATTTTTATAGAATTATTGGAACGGTTGCTGCTAAACTTTCACTTGCAATCCTCAAAAATTTTTACTTTCAAATTTCCAAATTAAATGTAACATTTTTGTTCTATTCTGTTCTAACAAATTTTGATTATAATTTATTATATGTTTATCTTTGACATAAAATTCTATAGAGGTACAACAAAAGTTCCTCAGAATCCAGTATGCAAATTCCAGTATGGAAAAATATGCCAAATATCTGGGATCACACATCGGTTTCATGATAACGTCGATATTCGTCATCCTATTTCACCCTTGATGTGGTCGTTAATAATTTCTGCACGTATTTAGGGATTGTCCTGGCGTCGGTACGTCTTCCGGGCCAAACGGCAAGGAAGTTTCGTATCACGGGAACGTAGGTGGGTCTAGCGTGGGGTACAAGCCGCCCCCGCAGCACAGCCCACAGTCAAGAGGTCCACCGGCGCATTTCCCACAGGAATCCGTGGGCCTACCGGCTAATTCTCCGCCTTTGCACATCAACATCTGCGGCCAAGTAAGTGCCTCCTTCTCTCTGCCATCTGATAATATCTGTATTGTTTTCTTTCTTAAAAGAAACATATGCTCGCAGGAGAACACGATGCGCGGCCCATTATTGAATATGAGTCCAGGTCTCGGAGCTAGTGGCGTTGACATGGAATATCGTAGGAATTCTCAAGGTATCCTGAGACTTTTGACATAGTATATATACGTATAATATATATATATATATATATATATATATATTATACATATGCATAAAACTATACATATAGTATTATTATACATATGCATAAAATTATACATATAGTATTATTATACATACAGTATTATATGCATAAAATTATACATATAGTATTATTATACATATGCATAAAATTATACATATAGTATTATTATACATATGCATAAAATTATACATACATACAATATTATTATACATATGCCTAAAGTTATTATACATATACACGTGTACATATATAGCATATACATGACCAGTATGCATCAGTATATATATATAGTAAATATCGACACATGTTGATATTTAGTACATTTAACTTCCATGCATTCTTTTTAAATTTTTTAGTTATCTTACTATTTTATCGACGCAGTTATTCATGTTCTTATGATTCACAGTTGGAAACAAATGGAATTTAAGCAAAAATTTAATTCTGCTTTGTCACGTTATGTACATATTACGTCATTTAACCTCTCGTAAATGCATAGATATCGGCCGCAGTCTATGTTGCAGTGCAAAATTAAAAATGGAATAATATTTTTTAGAGTTTTCCATATAATCGCCAAGTGTTTTACATACACACATAATCGTGTGAGATTATTTCATTTCGTATCTTCGTTTTAGCCACAAACCAGCTACCTCTGAGTCCTGTGCAGATCCAGCCATCGCCGCCATATTACAGACAGGCTAGTCAAGACGATGGTAGAAAGGTATATGTCTGTACTCTGTATATTTTAACAAAAATCTCTGCCTGAACCTTCCGTCCACCATTCCGTTGTCGATGATATTTTTAGAGCGAGTCACCGTCGAGGAAACGTCGCCGAATATCCCGCAACGGTGCAGTCCCTGGAATAGAAGTTCGCGAAACAACGCCACCGTCGCCTACGCCGCCATTGCACACGACTCCTCCGCCATGGGAATACTCAACCGCGCCTCAGAGACGGTCACCCCGGAATCACATGTCGACACGGGGCAGCCCGACTATCCGAAATCGTTATCAACGTTACACGGACTCGTTCGGCCTCACCTATCCTCCGTTTGTGCCTGGTCATACTCCTCACCCGCCCATTCACAACTCCCACCACGGGATCCATAGTTCTCATCACAATATCCACAATTCGCATCACAGTCTGCATAATTCGCACCACAATATGCATAACGCGCATCAGACGCATCCCCATCATCCGCCGGGCACCGGGCATCACCCGGCGCAAGGGGCGAACGGCCCTGTGGTTGTAGACGTTGGCCAAGTCGGTGTTTCCGGATTGGGGGTTGCCGTTAGCGGGGAACCGCTCTGGCATCCTCAGGCGACAGGTTACAGGATTCCATGCCAGCTGCACGGTATATACACACCGACTGGGGCGCATCCATTCGCACACTCGTGTCAGGTAAATGGGCATTCTTTTGCGAGGCTCAGACTATTCTTTCTTCCTTCCTTTTTATTATTATTATTACTATTATTAGTCTAGAAGACTATTCTTCTTTCTTTTCTTTTTATTGTTATTATTATTGTCTTTTTACTTTTACTATTACTATTATATTCAAGAATTAATTAAATTGTTGTCCATTCTTTCCTACAATATAATTTTCATGACTCGAACAATGAAAATTTTGTAACAATGTGTCATCTATTATTATTATGTAATAGTCTAGAAGACTATTCTTCTTTCTTTTCTTTTTATTGTTATTATTGTCTTTTTATATATAATACTTTCCTATATATAATACTTTCATGACTTGAACAATGAAAATTTTGTAACAATGTGTCATTTATTATTATTATGTAATAGTCTAGAAGATTATTCTTCTTTCTTTTCTTTTTATCGTTATTATTATTGTCTTTTTATTTTTACTATTACTATTATATTCAAGAATTAATTTTGTTGTCCATTCTTTCCTACAATATATATATATAATATTTTCATGACTTGAACAATGAAAATTTTGTAACAATGTGTCATCTATTGTTCTCATATGACAAATCTATTTTCACCTATTTCCTATATTTAAGTTTTTAAAGTAGTTGATAACAAAGTTACAAAAATCAATATCGTTGAAATGCCCGACATAACGTGCGTGTATGTTTAACCGTAAGAGCAAATGAGAAAACAACTTGTACTTTGCCCAGGTCACCCATCATCACAGCCACTATTCAGCGGCTCATCCGACCCATCCGGGCCATAGCCTGGTCGGTTCGATAGTTGGCGCAGCATCCAGAGGTTATCCTACGCCAACCGGAGGCCCCGTAGCAGCTCTTCATCACGCTCACGCGCCTCCGCCACCCGTCCATACTACTCATTACACTGCGCATCATCAACTCTCCCAGCAGGTATGATTTTCCAGTTGGAAATTATTATGCACACGCCGTCTTATGTCTCACTTTCAAGAGAGAGTATTTATCTAATGTTCTTTTTTTTTTTTTTTTTTACTGTTACAGCGAGAAGTTGAATTAGAATTGATAGAGTCCCATCATCATCACAGAGTGGGAGCTGCAGCCGGTGCCCCATTACCATTACCACATTCGTATTCACCGCCTGCTCTCACCCAAGTTACCACTCCTACTCCTACTCCTATATTCTTATCGGAAACTAGGAACAGTCAATTGGAAATGATTCAGACCAGAACCCGGCGCACAGCGTCTAACGTTCACACGCTCAGACGATCAAGGTCGAGTAGATGGAGAGGCACGCCTCCAATACCACCGACCACTTATTCAGGATTTCTGTTGCATTTCTTGTAAGTATCAGTTCTTGTCGTTGCAACGACTAAGTTGTCGTTGTCTATGACTATGCTGGCTTCGTTGATGCTAAATGTAAAATATTTTACTTTTGTTATAAATATAAAATACAGCGTGTACAGAGTGTGTACCAGTAAGATAAAATACAGAGTAAAAACTGCTAGCAGAAGAGAATTACAGACTTCGGAAAAAAAAAAAATCTCTAGACATTCTGATTTAATCTCGCTTATATATTACGACTTGTTTCATTTGATTCTGCAATTCACAGTGCAATGCTCAGCAACCCACCGTTATCTCCATACAGTCAGGCGGAACTGTCCTCGCCGGACTCGGCAACCGAAAACTATGAGGCCTTGCTATCATTGGCGGAAAGATTGGGAGAGGCTAAGCCACGAGGATTGACCCGGGCCGAGGTGGAACAGCTACCCTCGTACAAGTTCAACGCGGAAACGCATCAGGGCGATCAAACGAACTGCGTGGTCTGCATGTGCGACTTCGAGGCTTTGCAATCGTTGCGTGTACTGCCGTGTTCGCACGAGTTCCACTCCAAGTGCATCGACAAATGGCTCAAGGTAAGTTTAACGAGAATAATTTTGGTGACGTTTGCAGTGGATGATCGGTGGATCCATTACGTGTTACTAACGACGGTCTCTGTTAATTTTCTGGTTACAGTCGAATCGAACATGCCCGATATGTCGCGGTGATGCCGGAGAATACTTTGGGAACAGCGGGACCGGTAGCGACTGACGCCAAGCCGCTCAAGTACACTAGCGCCAACTGTCACGGGTCTCAGGGACGCTGCTCGGCTCAGAGCTTCCAGCGATCACATTGCTGGTTTGTGCAAATTTGTGTTAGCAAGCAATTTCACACCTTTTCTCTGACCGAGCCGTGTCAATGTCAAATCGCCTTGACTTCGCAAAAGAGGAGAGAGAGGATCGGGAGTGAGCGAGAAATGAAAAGCAGTGGAATTAAAATGGAAAAAAAAAGAAAAAAAAGAAAAAAAAGGGGGGAAAGAACACAGTAAAATCAGGGTATGATGTTCAGGGTGTTTGCTGTCGAGAAAAGGACCACACACATACACACACACTCACATTCTCACACACACACACAGGCAATAAAGGTACACGATTTAAAATTACAGCATGCAACAAGTTTTTACACAAGATGAACATTAACATTTCTGCGTTTATTCCACTGTCATTTTTCCTTTTTTTTTCTTTTTTTTTTCGGGGAATAGAGAGGTCGAAGAAAGAGGGAGAGAGGGAGATTTGAAAATGAGTGTAATAACGTGTGTTAATGAGCAAATCAACCCAGATTGAAAGAAACGGAGAGAGAGAGAGAGAGAGAATGTGAGAGGGAGAGAAAGTTCCAGTGATTTGTTAAAAAGCTATATTAAAAGCATTTCACGTCAGGGTCAAAGTCTGTGACTCAATGTATTCGTTTTGTTTCATCGATACATTTTCGAATTTAACTATATCATGTTTAACGCTCGTTTGTTGTTTTCTTTCTTTTTCGTGTTGCTACTCCGTCAAAGTATCGGATATCCATTATGTATATAATATTACTTATACGATAACGCAAAAAGCTATCATCGCTACTTTCCATTAACGTTCCAGTTTTTATTACTATTATTATTAATTATTATTACTACTATTATTATTATTATTAATTATTATTACTACTACCATTATAATTGTCTTTTTAATTCTACGAATTGTACATAACATATACTCGCATAAACGCGGTCCTATTACGATTAATATACATACACGCGTACGGCAATATCGGCCGATCTGATTTTTGTATAAGCAATCACTTTTTTTTCATTTTTAATGTTTTTCTTTTTTTTTTTTTTTTTTTTTTTTTTTTTTTT